TAGTCATCAGGCTACAGGACATTGTACAAAGTCTCTTGAATCACCATGGAATTTGCACTAACTCATAGCTGATTTTCCAGTGAGTTTAGGAGGCTGTAAATACTTCAAGAATAGATTGTCCATATTTCTCTCTTGGAGCTGCTGATGGATTCCAATGGCCAAACAGGCATGGCCTTTATGTTAGCATACAAATTCCAATAGACTATGACACCAGAGCTCTCCTTGCCCACAGCATTTATACTAATAAACATTGTTTTGGGCCATAGAGTTGTAACTGACCCATAGTTGATTATCCAGTGAGTTTCTAAAGGCAGTTAATCATGGGAGAAGATTGCACATCCTTCTCCCACAAAGTAGGTAGTAACCTTGAACCACATGTCTTTGGGACTGCAGCAGAGCTTCTTGCCACTATGTCACTAGAGCTCCTTGTCCTGTGTTTTATTAATGAAATAGCTTAACTCTGGTAAAAATCTATGTACTAAACCCTATTTCTTGCTAATATCTCTCCTCAGGAGAAAAATGGTTATGTATTTACAGGAAAAAATATAGTGTGCAATAAAAAGATCATTTCCTCTTCTAGTAACTATCCCACTTTATGCCAATTACAAGCATAATTATGAAAGATGTGATTTTTTAACATAAAAAGTCAAATTTTAATAAACCTTAGATCTTTTGGGTACAAGTTAGGATACTGTTACCTCAACAACTGTGAAATCTCAGGCGTCTATGTAAGTACTTACACCTGTTTGTTAAAATGTTATCAGAAGACAATTAATTAAGCTACTTAATTAGTGAACATTTTAATACTCTATTTTTTTTTCTCCTTACCACATAAAGTGCTCATTATTGCAGTTTACATCTAAGTTTCAGTCCCAGAGTAAAAAGAGCATCGATATGCGTGGACGTGTAGTAGAAGAAATACATATATGAAATAAATTTTACCAAGTAATGGTGGTGTATCTCAAGTAGTAAAAAAATTCACCTGTATAATGTTAGTTCCTATTTCCATATTTGTCAGCATGGAAAACTTTTATGCAATAAGAAAATCAATAAAGTCTTCTCACTAAATGAGTACCAACCAGAACACAGACAAAATATTTTCATGTGGTATATAGTCCTTAAGGACAGCTAACGTAGAAGCAAGGATA